TACTGCTCCTGCTGTACATAATTTTGTGTAAAATTTCAAATTGTTGAAATAATCATTACTTCTAAATATATTTAGAAGTAATTATTAGAGGTTATTTAAATATCACAAAGGGCAAAACACACCAATTATTTACCTATCCAAACTATTAAAATTATTTCTAAAATGAATTTGCACCCCACTGTCAGCTCATCCCAACTTAACAATCTATCTCCAGTTGTAATTAATTTCCTTTAATAGGGGTGCAGAAAATGCCACACAAAAAGGAAACTGGGAATGTTTTGCCCTTTGATCCTTTTCATCAATGTACTGTTACTCCAAACTTTTCAATTTTGTGTCATCCACACATTTGACAAGCAATTGCTGCACTCCCTCATCCAAGTCATTAATAAAAATGTTGAAGAGCACCAGACCCAGGACTGAGCGTTGGGATACCCCACTTGTTACCTTTGCCCAATTGGAGAAGGAGCCATTAATCATCACTCTCTGAGTATGATTCTGTAGCCAACTGTGTATCCGACTAGGACAGTTGTTCTATCCAACCCACACCTAGTTAGCTTGCTGATCAGGATTTCATGGGACACTTTGTCAAAAGCTTTGCTAAAGTCAAGATACACTATGTCTACAGCATTCCCTTTATCAGGGAGGTTACCTGATCAAAAATGAGATCAGATTAGTCCAGCAGGATATGGTCTTGGCAAACCCATGTTAGCTTCTAGTTATTGCTGCACTGTTTTCTAGGTGCTTGCATAGTGACTGTTGTATAATTTTTTTCCAGAATTTTCCCTGGGATTGACATCAGGCTGACCAGCCTGTAGTTCTCAGGTTCCTCTTTTTTTGCCCATTTTGAAGATAAGCACAATATTAGCCCTCCTCCAATCATCTCACCCGTTTCCCATAATTTCAAGAAAATAATGGTTCTGAGAGTTCTTCAGTGAATTTCTTCCATATTCTTGGGTGCGGTTCATACGCTCTGAGAGTTCTTCAGTGAATTTCTTCCATGCTCTTGGGTGCAGTTCATGCGCCCCTGGAGATTTGAACTCATTCAAGGTGGTAAGGTATTCCTTGACTATTTGTTTATCAGTCTCCAGCAGCAGTCCTGTCCCCTCCACTTGCACTCCACATTTGTCTGGAAATTCAGTCTGTCCTATGGGAAAAGACTGAGCTAAAACAGGAACCGAGCACTTCTTCTATAATTTTTCCATCTCCATTGAGGAACTGAGCCACTGTTTCTTTTCTTTGTTTCTTGCTATGCACATACCTGAAGAATGCTTTTTAGTTACATTTCGTTTCGCGAGCTAATCTCAGTTCATTCTCAGCTTTTGCTTCCCTAATGCCATTCCTGCATTTCCTTGCTACTTGTCTGTATTCTTCCTTGGTGGCCAGGCCTTCTTTCCACTTCTTATGCATGTCTTTTTTAGTTTTCAGGTCGACCCTGAAGTTACACTGGCCTTTTTAGCTGCTTCCCACCTTTTTGTTTGAATTTTTTGTAGCTGTGCCTTTATAATTTTATTTTTTTATGAAACTCCTGAATTTTTTGTAGCTGTGCTTTTAGAATTTCATTGTTTTTATGAAACTCCCGCCCTTCTTGAATTCCTTTTCTTGTTAGGTTCTCCTGCCAAGGGATCCTACCCATCCTTGTTCTGAATTCATTTAAATTGGCTTTTTAAAAATCCAGCATATGTATGTGGGGCTACACTCTGCTTTGGTTTCCTTTGAAACCAAGAATTCTAGTACAACATCGTCACTCTCACCCAGAGTTCCCCTTACTGCCTCTTCCTCCACCAAGCAGTCTCTTGGTGAATTTGCCGCCCAACATATATCCAGATAATTGAAATTTCCCATCACTACTACATCATGTCTCTTTGAAATCCATTGCAATTTGTTTTTCAAAAGCTTCATCAGCTTCCTCTCCTTGGTTGGGCAACTGGTAGTAGACTCTGATGACCATGTTCTTTGTTTTTGCCCCAACTAGATTTATCCAGATGCTCCAATCTCTGATGCTCTCAATGGGACATCCAATCTCTTCCTTCTTTATTTCTGTGCAGGAATGCATATCTTTTACATAAACTGCAACTCCACCTCCTCTTCTATTTGCTTTGTTCTTTTTGAACAATTTATATCCTTCAATTGCTGTATTCCAGTCGTAGGAGTCATCCCACCAAGTTTCAGTTATTCCTATCAAGTTACCATATTTATCTGTTTAGAAGCTGCCCCATTGTACTCCTATCAAGTTACCATATTTATCTGTTTATAAGCTGCCCTATTGTACAAGACAACCCCCACTTTTCTAACCCCAAATTAGAAAAATTGATTGCTGCTTTCCCCACCACTTCCTAAGCCCCATGGGGCTTAGTAAAAAGAGGAGGAAAGTAACGATCAAAGGGCTGCAGGATCACTTTGCTCACTGTTTCCCCCCTCCCTTTTATTAAGCCCCATGGGGCTTAGCAAAAAGAGGGGGAAAGTAACGATCAAAGGGCTGCAGGATGACTTTGCTCACTGTTTCCCCCCTTCCTTTTATTAAGCCCCGTGGGGCTTAGCAAGTGGTGGGGAAAGCAGCAAGCAAAGTGATCCTGCAGCCCTTTCATCACTGCTTTCCCCCTCCTTTTGCTAAGCTCCGTGGGGCTTAGCAAGTGGAAGGGGAAAGCGGCGATTAAAGTGCGGTAGGATTAAGTGGAAGGGGAAAGCAGGGATTAAAGTGCGGTAGGATTGCTTCGATCCATTCCCCCCTCCACTTGTTTTTGTTCTCTCCTCAGCTTACCTCTGTGTATAAGATGACCCTCAATTTTTAGTCTAAAGATTTTAGACAAAAGTGTTGTCTTGTATTATACATGGGAAAATATGGTGTATTTGCCCTCCTGCAGCATGGATTCTTTCCAAATAAGATGATGGAGCCAACCATTTTCTCTCTCTCTCTTTAAAAAAAAGCAGTACAGGTACTGGTCTTTTCAATTTATGTACTGAAATCTATTTTAAATCTGGGATTGTTCGGTGTAACCTATTTCTGAACTAGGGGGGAAACAGTTTTACTTTTTTAAAAACATACTTCGAAAGCCCTCTTGTTCGGTGTAACCTATTTCTGAACTAGGAGGAAAACAGTTTTACTTTTTTTAAAACATACTTCGAAAGCCCTATGTCCAAACTTCCCCAAATTTGGTACGGAGCTGTCAACTACAACTGTGCCAAATTTAATGGGGATCCAAATACCAGTTTCAACATTATAAATGTTTGTTTGCGCAGTCTTTGTCTTTTCTCTTCCTCTCTGGCCTTTTCCCTCTGAACTTCTGCCACACCCAAAGGAATTGTGTCTGCACAACTTACTCTGCCATTTTGAGTTATCAAATGAAAGTTTGTTTTCCCGCTCCTTCAGTTTTGGACTCAGACACTAAATACCTCTTGCTAACATTTAGCTCATTGTCAGAACAGTAACTCTGATGTCATGTTTGTCCATAACTAGTGATGGGCCAATTATTTGTGATGGTTTGTGGCTTACTCATGAAACATGAATCATGAAGTATCACACACATACACCAAAAACCAACCAGTTCACGATTCATTTTTTGGGTTAAAGAATGACCATTCATGTAAATGTGACATGTAAAAGAATTTACTGAGAGCACAGCAGACTTCAGAATACCAATTGAAAGCTGGAAAGAACAAAGGCATGCACAGGATCCGACTAAACACTTATTGTTCTTTGTGGTCTGCCATCCATGGGTTTTACCAACTATATTTCACAAAGACAATCACATTGTGTTCGGACTAGAGACGGGGACAAAGTGGTCTCAGTTTGTGGGTCATCAACCTTGACAAACCACAATTTTACCCCATGGGGCTATCTAAAATAGAAAGGTGACCCTTACTGCCTTCCCACTGCAGCTTACCTTGACCAGCTGCCTCCTCCTGCTCCACCGCTCCTTCCGCCGAAACAGAAGCTAGATAGGCAGAACCATGTTCTCTGTTCCAGCAGCCTAGCTTTTGCAAGGAGCAGTGGGGAAGGCTTCCCCTTGGGCAAGCCTGACCGAGGAGATTCCCCCTGCTGCCTTAGCATGGAGGATTGCTTCAGTCAGGCTTCCCCTGTCTTTCTATGCCTGGCTGAGCACAGAAACATAAGGGAAGTTGGACCTAAGGGATCCCCTACCCCCACTGTCTTTGCAAACACACCAGGAGGGGAATTGTTTCAGTCTGGCTTCCCCCATCTTTCTATGTCGAGGCAGGCATAGAAAGACAAGGGAAGTCTGGCCAAAGCAAAAGACAGTGGGGGGCTTCCTCTTTCTATGCCCCTGCAGCACAGACCAGGGAAGCCCGATTGATGCCCCCCAGCCACTGTTTGCAAAGACAATGGGGGGAATTCCTTTGGTCAGGTTTCCCCTGTCCATGCTGCAGGGGCATAGAAAGACGGGAAAGTCAGAGCAAAGCAATTCCATCCCCCCCCCCCCGGTCTCTGTAAACAGGGATGGCTGGGATTCCCTTCGGGCAAGCTTTAGCAAGCCACCGGAAGGGAAAACCCCTCTCTGCCTATGTTCCTGAGGAACAGCTGATCCGTGGGGGCATAAGTGGAGAGGGATAGATGAAGGGAGGAATATAACTGGGTTATATTCATTGCTTCACATTTGTTGTGGTCTATGGACCTCAAGAATACAAAGCAATGATATTAGTCGAATATCGCAATTCATGTTTATATTCATCCCCATGTCTAGTTCATACCCTTCTGTTATGATAAACATCTAACATAATTCATAACCAAATATTATGCTATATATCTTGTGTGTGTTTATTTGAATCCCCACTGAATTCAACAGGGTGTGAGGCCCTCCCTGGGCTCCCAGACCATCTCTATCCTCCCCAATCCTAGGCCAATAATTAACCCCCCAAATTTTAAACCAAGCTGTAGAAAGCCTCTGTGTGGTTCAATTTGTCCTTAGAATACAATGCCTTCTGAGGCTTTTCAGGTGTCCCAAAAAAAACCTTTAGAAAGGAAGTATGACTACACAGCATTACATTCACAAATCTATTTTACTTATATCAGATTTCATAGTAATAATCAGTGGACATACCGGTGTCAGCGATTTCGCTTCCTCGCAATTTATGCCTCCTATGAATACCATGTTGGGCATGATAGGCCTGGGATACTCAAAGACAAAGTCATAACGCAAAAGCCAGATCGAACCGTTCCGATAAAGAGTTGGTAGGTGAACATCTCTCTGTAGAAACTCTGAAGCAATATCTTGATACTTATTATATAGTGTCTTGAAAAGCGTTGTCTCGAAAGAATTAGCAAACAGATTAATCGCACGTTGGACGAAAGACATTCGGTCCGTGTGCACAGTATAACATCTTGGAATATAGGAAACAGGATTTGGAGACTTACAGATTGCATGCTCTAAACTGCATGGGAATCCTCGAAAGAAATACACAGAAGGGATGAAGAGGTATTCAGCTAAGATGACTCCACAGGGCAAAGCTGGGTCTGTGAAAAGGGCATCAAAATGAGCCTCCTCCAGGTACTTAATGATTTCCCTGTTCTTCAGCAGGCTCTCACAATTCTCAAAAAACAGGTTTATAATATACATATTGTTCCAGTACTCCTGAAAAATTGTAAAAGGAAAAGAAACCTTCTTGAAGAGGTTTCTAGAGAACTTCTGAAATCCAATGTCAAGATCTGCCTGCGTGTATGAGACAGGATATGTTTTCCGCTTGTAATACTTTTCTCCTTTTAAAAGCAGATTCACTTCGGGTGCCACCACCACAATCTCGTGACCTTTTTCACTGAGCTTCTGCACAACAGCTCGCATGCTGAGCCAGTGACTTCCATCCTGAGGTATAACTAGTAATTTCTCACCTTCTGTGAAGGTGAAAAGGGCAAAGAGAGAAAAAAGCCACAAAGCCAAGCTGTTAGCCTGAAGAAAAGAAGAACCCATCTCTCTCTCTGTTCAGAAAAATCTTGGCAATGAAAGGAATCTCTTCTGTATCTTGTGCTTCTTTTTCGTTTTGCAGTGTAGGGATAGGAAGGACAACTTGCTCTCTTTTAAAGGCTTTTCTTTCCCCACCTGAATTCTGTTTAATTATTAGTCTATTGAAATTTCAGAGGGCAGAATGTGAATGTTTGTTTTGCAAGATAGTGCCAGGTGACAGAAAACTGGGAAAGAACTATTGCAACTATGTGGCACAACAACTAACTGGTGGATTAATGAAATAAGTTCATGAAAGAGAATAAGCTACCCTGGAGCAGAAATGAGTAAAGGCAGCTGTTGGGAACCGAGGGACAGAGAGAATGCCTACAGAGTGAGCTTTTGATGAAAGAGTAGCTCTCATTCAGATACCACACTAAGAAGGTTTAACAGTGGTTTAGCACAGTGGTTTCCAATTTGGGATATGTTTTCCCCAAAGGGTATGAACCAGAACATTTTGTTGTTGTTGTTCAGTCATTAAGTCGTGTCCGACTCTTCGTGACCCCATGGACCAGAGCACACCAGACCCTCCTGTCTTTCACTGCCTCCCAGAGGTGGGTCAAATTCATGTTGGTAGCTTCGATGACACTGTCCAACCATCTCGTCCTCTGTCGTCCCCTGCTCCTCTTGCCTTCACACTTTCCCAACATCAAAGTCTTTTCCAAGGAATCTTCTCTTCTCATGAGATGGCCAAAGTGCTGGAGCCGCAGCTTCAGGATCTGTCCTTCCAGTGAGCACTCCAGGGTGATTGGTTTGTTCTCCTTGCAATCCAAGGGACTCTCAAGAGCCTCCTCCAGCACCACAATTCAAAAGCATCAATTCTTTGGCAGTCAGCATTCTTTATGGTCCAGCTCTCACTTCCATACATTGCTACTGGAAAAGCCATAGCTTTGATTATGTGGTCTTTGTCGGCAAGGTGGTGTCTCTGCTTTTTAAGACGCTGTCTAGGTTTGTCTTCACTTTCCTCCCCAGAAGCAGGCATCTTTTAATTTCGTGGCTGCTGTCCCCATCCGCAGTGATCATGGAGCCCAAGAAAGTAAAATAGGCTACTGCCTCCATATCCTCCCCTTCAATTTGCCAGGAGGTGATGGGACCAGTGGCCATGATCTTTGATGTTGAGCTTCAGGTTATTTTTTCTGCTCTCCTCTTTCACCCTCATTAAGAGGTTCTTTATTTCCTCCTCACTTTCTGCCATCAGAGTGGTATCATCTGCATATGTGAGGTTGTTGATATTTCTTTCGGCAATCTTAATTCCAATTTGGGATTCCTCCAACCCAGCCTTTTTCATGATGTATTCTGCATATAAGTTAAATAAGCAGGGGGACAATATACAGCCTTGTTGTACTCCTTTCCTAATTTTGAACCAATCAATTGTTCCATATCCAGTTCAATTGTTGCTTCTTGTCCCACGTATAGGTTTCTCGGGAGATAGATAAGGTGGTCAGGCACTCCGATTTCTTTAGTTTGCTATGGTCCACACAATCAAAGGTTTTGCATAGATGTTTTTCTGGAACTCTCTGGCTTTCCCCATAATCCAGCGCATTTTAGCAATTTAGTCTCTACTTCCTCTGCCCCTTCGAAATACAGCTTGTACTTCTGGGAGTTTTTGGTCCACATACTGCTGATGCCTACCTTGTAGGATTTTGAGCATAACCTTGCTAGAGTGTGAAATGAGTGGAATTGTACGGTAGTTGGAGCATTCTTTGGCACTACCCTTCTTTGGGATTGGGATGTCGACTGATCTTTTCCAGTCCTCTGGCCACTGTTGAGCTGAATTTAAAGAAAGGTTCCTTATAAACTTTTGGCCAGGCATCAGTAGAGAATATGAACAGCTTTCTGACAAGGTGATTATGTTTCTGATGCCATTTACAAATATGGAGCTGGTGAAGGGCTTCCTCTTCTTATAACTTTTTAAAAATTCAATACTATAGTAAGCTGTAGTCTTACATCGGTTCAACCTGATATCAAAAAACTATATACCTCAAAACACGTTCAAGGATCACACTGAACATTTGTTGTGTATAAAATATCTGTTGTGTGTTTTATCACTATTATTTCAAAACAATAGTTTTTCAATTAATAGTAAATTCAGTAACAAATACAATGCATTAATTAATGGAATGTAGTTTTTAATGTAATTTGTGATGTATTTACTTGAACTCATGTATCTGTTCACCTTTTTATTCCATTGCTTTTAAATCTCATTATTGGCCCATTTAATTATACCGTATAAATTTGAAATAACAGCAACCATATTAATTACGAACATTTTGCTAATATAAAGGATACAGTTTATGGAAATGGGTTGCCAAGGGGTGATAAAATGTTGATCCTAAGATGATCCTTGCCCCATTTCATCTTCTGCATTTTTAAAAAAGTATTTACATGATATTTGCACAATCTAAAATTTGAGGATTGAGTGCCATTGGAATGCTGATAACACCCAGCCACGCCTCTCTTTCTCAATTAGTAGCAATATGGCTGTTGCAGTTCTGAACTCTTGCCTGAATGAATTAACAAACTGCTGAGAGGAACAACTTAGTCAGGCACTGGGAATATACAGTACAGTAGCCTGTTTTGGATAAGGCTGCACCTGTTGTGTAGGTCAGAGTTTGAAGGCCCAGATGGCTGCTGTGGGTAGGAATGCCTTTGTTCACCTTTGGCTTGCGTGCGTGCTCTGTTCAATTTTTGGAGGATGATAGTTCTTCTGCCCTTCCCTTGTTCACTTGCAGATCAGATGAATGCAACATGATCTACAATGGGCTTGAAGAAGGTTCATAAAAATCTGGTTGTGCAAAATATAGCAAAGCCAGTTTGCTCTCTGATGCACATTTATCAAATAACAGTTTTTTCTATGTTCACATCCACTGCAACATTAAAATAAGTTATTTAAAACCCAGATATCGTAACTGAAGAAAATCTAGTTGTGGCTGTAAAGATTCTCAGGTTACATAGAGGATTCCTCTTACCACTCTGTCACACAGCCCTTCTTCTACCTGGTTTGGGTTATACCCAGGTGGGTCTGCGCAGCAATGATCAAGAATTGTTTCCTGTGAACCCACTTCTTCCCCAGCACACTCCAAGTCACTTATGTCTGGATGTTTCACTGAGGGTGGGGGAAAATACACCAGCAGGTTGTTGCTTCTGGTTGCAAACCAATCCTGCATGTAACGTATATTCTAAAGTATTATAAAACCTCTGAGTGCCTAAGACACCAGACTTAATACTTTCAACCCTTTAGCTCTCTGAATAAATCACAGCTTGTGTAAATATTTATAAGTTTATTAAAAAGAAAAAATGGCAAAGCATAACAACTTGACAAACATTTAAATGTTTCAGTAACAGCAGTGATACACAAAGAGCATCATCACATAGAACAAAAGCAGTTTTAGAGTTGAAGGCATTGTAGAACTTTCCCACAGAATATAAGAAAGTTTGCCTAAGGCTATCCATACTTACAAGCATACAGAGTCTCCAACATAGTTGATTGTATAAAAGCATAGCGTGAAAGCCTAATCCATCCTAACTAGCTACCTTCCACTTTATATCCCATCATCCCCTCATGAGCTGGCTTGAGTGTTCCACTAATCACACTGGGTCTTTTAATTGGGTCTAGCTGTACCATCCAGAACTTCTTGACTGGCATCTTAGCGCTTACACTCACTAATAGGCAGTGGTGCAAGCAATCATGAAAATAATTCCTTTCCCTAGAACCTGTCAAAGGCATAGATAACAGTCTTCATGCTATCTTGAAACAGCTCTATCCAGTTCTCAAAACATGTTTGCTTAGTCTAGTCAGCTGAAGTATTTTACAAAATTTAGAGAGGTGATGTTAACTCCATTTCTGCAGATTCTTTCACAGTGACATGCTACGTTTTCTACTTGCAAAATAAAAGGGAATAATAACACTAGATTACACTACAGGTCTGGTGTAAACAACTCCTCAATTCTACTTTGCCTTCAACTATTTACTGTCAATTACATTAATCTTGTCTTCAACAAAGGATAGCAAAGAATTAAAATTTTCCAGGTCTGTGTGGAGATACAAAGGATTGAATTTGGAACCTTGTGAATGCAAAGCATGGGTTTTACCACTGAGCTCTAGCCCCTCCCCAAATCTACCACCTTAACTTCAGATGGGGTGCAATCCTTAACCTCCTCCTTGAATCATGTGAGAACATTACTGTGACGGTTGCCCCATGTCACTCCTGTCACTCACAGTCAGGTTCTCATTTGCATGAGCCTAATGAGAGGAGTGGAGGGGCGGAGTCAGCGGATATAAGGAGGTTTGGCAGAAGAGATGGGAAGAGAGGAGATATAAAACTGCAGAATGAGAGAGAAGGAATAATAATAGAGATAAGCTGGTCTAGAGCAGTGGTTCTTAACGTGGGCGATAATGCTCCCCAGGGGGCGATTTCATTTTTCAGGGGGGCATTAGAACGAAAAGGGGCGGCGTGGGGGCGCTGGAGCAGAAGGGGGGCGGTAGGGTGGCGCTGGAGCAAGCCAAACCTGTGAAGATGGCTGCAGCCTTTTTACAATGCGCATGAATATATATTTTCCTCCAATCTTAATTTAGTTGCAGAGTTTTCGTCTTGAAATTTTTAGTTTCTGCATTGCGGTTTGTTTTTATGCCCTTTTTATATTTCTTTTTGCATCTTAAAATTCACTTACAACTAAATAATTAAATGTTACTTTTTGGGAGCATTTCATTTTCTTGGAATTGAATTTTGTTTTCAGCGGTCATTGGATTTAAGTGTCTTAAATAAATAAATAAATAAATAAATAAATAAATAAATAAATAAATAAATAAATAAATAAATAAGATATCATCACCGTGGGGAGGGGGGCGATGATAA